TACGTATCAACTAAACATGACCTATCTAAATGCTTCTAAATATGCCTTACAACACACACATCTCATAGTCTATGTGTAAATATGGGGTGTTCCATAATATTCGTTTGTTACTATCAATGACATTAACGAACGCTCTTTATCACTATCATTGACACTAACGAACGCTATTTTTAATGTTGAAAATGCATATCAAAGGGATGTAACCCAAGGCCGGGAAATGAACATTTCTTTGATTTATTTTTTATAATATTTTCTTACTTAATTTTGTTTTTGTCTTAAATGTTAAACCATGTGTGATGTGAATGGGTAAAAAGAAAAGGAAATATCGCCAAGCATAGTGCTAATGAGGGGCAGAGTTGGACATAATATGTATGAAAAAAAATGTTTCAATGAGTAGCACAATCCTGCTCTCCCTCTCTTTTATTCTGTCTCTCCTTGGCGCCCTGATTATTAATCGACCAGCCTCTAGGTAGGTACCAAGTATGGTATCATCAACACAGTGCCAGAAAAAAAAAGTAGCAGGAGGGACAATTATTAATTGATCAGTACAAATTAGGTCACAATCACTGAGTGGAGTGAGTGGGCTAGATGCCTGGTGGTCTTTTTATTTTTAGGGGGGGTCATCTAGATCTAGGTAAGTCACAGTATATGGCCCTTTTTAAAGTTGAGGATTTAGCAGAGAAGGGAGCAATTAAGAGTGGGAAAAGTGACACACTAATCTGTCTTGAAAAAAGAAATTGATATTAAAAAAAAAGAAAATTGAAGATAATAATTTTTAAATACAATACCATGAAGTGTTGGTTAGTGTACTGAAAATGTTCATTAAGCTACAAAGCAGGGAATGGTGTTCGTTAATGTTAGCACTGGACCTCATTGACCTGACCCTCTTCAACATCATATTTTATTGTAACTATCGTCTATGCATAGCGAAACAAAACAAAATAATATATAATTTTATGGACAAATGGATGACAAGTCGATAGATGTTTCCAGTTTTTTCTATGACTAACCACTGACATTGAGGAGCTATAAATATTCAAACATAAACATAGAGGCAGCAGCGCTTAACTTGTTTATTTGCACGATGAAAATTATCATAAATGTAATAAGAATCTTTTTTTTCTGCATTTATTTATTAGAATGAGATTATATTATTTCATTTCATTCATGGAGAAAGGTTCATTTGTAGGCCTACTTTTTAATTATTCTAGTAGATATATGAAAATCCGTAAAACCGGAAGTTAAAAAATGGCGTCAAACTTTGAGATTGGTTTTTCTTACTTTTTGTACATAGGCCCTTAATTAAAATCAATTATGATTTTAAATCCATTGAAATCGTGGCTAAAAGAGGTGAATATGGATACATTTTATATTGAGGAACACTTTTTTCATGTGGACTTTAAAAAAAAATGTGTATTTTCTTACTTTTTTTGTACTTGAAAGTATATGATGTATTTTTCTTTTTACTGATAATCATTTCAGGTAACATTTTGGAAGTTGATTTTTTTTTTGTACTAATAGAAAATTTATCTGGCCATATTTCACGATAACTTTATTTCTTCAATTGTTATCGATTATAATGTTGAAACATAAATTTGCACTGCTCCCTATGGGATTTTTTATTTTTTACTTTTTTTTGAAAACTAAACTATTTTATGACTTACATCTTGCCTAAGCTAAGGTCTAAAAAGCTATTAAAGAGCTTAATTTATTTCTTCTATTTTGTTTTTAATTTTAAAGCGGATTTGAAAAATATTGTTTCAGATGATTTTGATCCCACTTTTTAAATATTTAGTTATTTTCTGCCATCACAAAGCCGCCATTTTGTCCACACCCCTTGACATTTCTTGTAGCTCTAGACCCGATAATTGTTTATTTCATCAATATTTACATTCTAAACAAGTGAAATTCATAAATATAAATGAAATCAGATTTGTGAGCTAGAAATTTACTACGAATACTAGATCTACTATTAAATTTTTTATTTAATAAGTAGATCTATCTTCTACGCAACTCAATTCCAACTTTTTAACATTTTGAGCGGGGGGGGGGGTTCTCGCAGGCTGAGTGAGCGAGACGCTTTCATCTTCATTGTTCCATGTCAACCAATGTTAGGTCAAAACGCCACAAAAAAAATCATAACTTTCTAACTTACATTCATAATTTATACACCATTGGAAAGTTCTTTCAAAGTATTTTAATCATGTACTAACGAAAAAAAAAATTTTTTAAAGATAATTTTTTTATTTCACATCCATAATTCTAGTAGTTCGTGGAGCACCTAATGATAATCAGGCCTAGCCTAGTGTTCTGCAGAACACAATTTGGGAAACATTGCTCTAGATTTTAGATAATCATTATCAAGTTAATCAAGCCATTCAAGGCAATCAATTGAATCATCAAATCATGTCTTGAAAAGTCTTGATTTTAAAATTAATGATTTTATTTTTATTTACCATCGAGATTCCAGACCAGTTGTGGCAAGTAAATTGTGAGCCAATGTTCGTAGCATTTTTAGCGCAGCTATCTTTTTCTTTTAGGTCAGGTTAAAATTAAAATCTTCTAATCTAGATTTACTTGTTAACTATTCTAAGTTTGCACGTCTAAACCTAGATCTATAACCTAGAATGGCTAGATCTAAAGGTTATGCATTTTGTTGACCATCGCTGCAATAACAATCTTTAGCAGTTTCATATACTTTGTACTTTTCTACTTCCGGTAAGTTTCAACATTATTCGCTTTTTTTAAATAATTATTTTTGTGTCATAGATCTATATTGTTTGTTTTACACTTTTCGGATGTTCCTTCAGAAGTGAAGATAATTCCCATCATCTCTTTTCATTAGTCCCTTGACTTTCGTCGTAGGGGTGCTGTGACAGTTCGCGCAACCAAATCCTTTCACTTTCCCCGGTCAATAGCTGTTCCTTAGCAAGAAAGACTGTCAGTTGTTTTACGTTGTCCTTGTATCCATCTACCACAATGACACTACGGTCCATGGTAGGCCCATGGACTGCTTTAGCAAACCTCTCCATTCTGATCTATACTGCGCTTTACGTCTTCATGCCCGGACTTTTAGCTGTTGTATATCATCATCATCATCATATCATCATCAAGCCACCGTACTCGTCTTCTGCCTTTGGGGCGTCTGCCTTTTGGTTTTTGCCGGTGAACAATCTTAGCTCCTCTGTTCTCTGACATTCTTTCGAGGTGACCTGCACAATGTAATCTGTTCCTTTTTATTTCCGTCACTTTCCATGAGTCTTCATATAGGGCCTAGGCCTAGTTGGTCTACTTCTTGGTTGGTGCATGTCCTCCATCTGGTTTCCTCATGTATGGCAGGAGGCGGGGGATGGCAGCGGGAAGGGTTCGAACCGAGAACCACAGTGATCACTTTAATGCGCATACCATACGACCAGAAAACCAATCATCTATCAACGTTATTCGTTTGTCTTTTAGAATCTACATCTACAAGACGCAGTAACATTAGATCCATAACGAAGACGAGGCTCCAAAAGAAACATTCTCAGGACCACTTATCATCTAATAAATTCTAATTGATGGTTGACCTACGGACAAAGAGGTTGGTTAATGCGGGACCATCGGAAATAGTGAGTGTGTTTAGTTGGTTAATGGTACATTGGCACTCTGTCCTATAAAAGACAACCTCCCTAAAGAACACGCTTCAGATAAAACTTGGGCTAGTAGTCTATAGGCCTAATGCAAAATTGACTAGTAATAAATGACTTATAGCACTGCCTAATTTTCTAAAATTAAGTGTAATTATTTGTATACAAATTGCATTTTCTTTTAACCAAAAATGTTTTTTGGTACATTACTAGTAGACGTAAGCCTACAACAGAAAATATTACGTGTTAACTTTATCATCTTATACATTACACATGTTCCTTCATAACAGAAGATAATTACGTCCTACGTGTATCGATCTAGTCCTACATGCTTAAACTCCACTAAGTCATTGGTTTTCCTGGCTGATTCAGGCAACCCATTCCAATCACTAATGACAATATGGAAGAAAAAGCACTTGCAAAAATTTCGTCCTAACGTGTGGAGTTTTTTTTAAAGTCTTTCTCCTTGTGACCTAGGTACATGTATTAGTTGTTTTATTTGTAAGTTATGGCGGAAAATTATGAACAGCCAGTCTTTTGGGTATCCGGTGTAAAGCCCGAGTTGTTAGCGCTTTCATGTACGCTAAGCTCTTCAGTTTGTGACACCAAATAATTTCATTATGAAGAAAGTATTGACTTTTACTCTACGACTTGTGAAAACTGTATTACAAACAAATAATGGTAATGTGTTTTGATACGAAGATGAACTGCCACACATTGATAGAATTCAAATTTAATTCTTTGTTATTAGTTGGCAACAATTCAGTTCACTTGATCGTGAATATCTGAAACAGTACGTTAGCCTGACTGATGGCATTAGTTTTACATCCATTCAGCCTCTCTCCAAGTTTTGCATGCAATACAATCAACATCTTTTTCTTCAAAACACTAAGTTGATTGTCTGACTAGTCTGGAAAATGTGACGTGTTGCAAATCCCTTTTACTCTTTCATTAACTTAATTTCAAGTATGTCTAAATACATCAACACATTATATCAATGTGATTGTGCAAATAATCTAGGCAGCAAGGTGTGATAGTCCCCTAAAACCTTCCAAGTGCAGCCATAATTGATTAGAGGCCTAGCATGACATAGCAGTCACAGCGGCTAACACTCAGATAACATATAAATCTCCCTATATTAAGTCATAAGTCAGCTGTGAATGTCATTAATCGATGGTATAAAACTACATCTTTTGTTTTTTCCCCCTATTGATCACATTCGATATCTATTTATGAAGACAAACCATTTTAAATGTATGTTATCATTAACAGATACACCCTAAGCATTTAGAAAGACTAACTCTTAAGGTAGAATATAAACCTACTCAAGCCTTAAGCAAGATTTCTAGGTGCTAGAAATGAAGAAGCTAACAAGTTTTCAATATGTAAAACATGTTTCATTTCATTGGAACCTGACAGTCATGATTGGTAGAGAAGAAAAACATGAAAATGAGGCTTGGGTTTTTGGATGGAAACAGACACTCATGCTAGTTAAAAATTTTAAAATGATATTTAATGCATATAATAATAATATGATATATGGGGAGATGTGAAAGATGATTTAAATAAAAAAAAAAAAAAGACAACATACATAGTTCAAGCATGAGACAAGAGAATGCCGCTCTTTTACAAACAAAGAGCAAATTCTTTAAATTAAATTCTTGAGCTGTAACAATTGTTACTAAGTTGTTTTTTTTTAAGTTACCAATAATAAGCAAACTCAGTTACTGTAAGCTGCATGTATATAAAAAAATTCACTAAATATCTGCAATGTCCAGCATTTAACATAATGATAAGGTTTTGTAACATAATAACAAGTGGATTGACACAAACGACTGGATCCCTGGTGTTTTCATGGAACAAGCTAAAATACCTTGGAAATTCTTAAAAAAAAAAAAAATAGATGAGATTTATGTTAAAAAAAAAATGTCTAATATTTAAGGTCCCTCACAACACATGAGAACCACATTCAGATGAACCCTTTTTATTTTCTAGTCACTTCCAAACTGACTCAACAGAGAAATAAGTATTCAAATGAATTTTTTAAAAAATGCACAAGTAATCATTGACGATTTGAATAAAGACAACAACTCAAAGTCCTGACAACCATTATGTCACAATAACACTGTAATATATTATAATTCAGACTATGTACATGTGTAAATATAAGAGTTGACAGACAACATTGAACTTTGTTCAGCAATCCAAGTCAGCTTCTCTACAGCTGTTTTTATCTCAGAGCTACATTATCTACAACATTGAAGCAGGGAAAATATTGAATAAGCCAAGTGTGATTTTTTTCTTTGTAGTTTCTAGAAAAGCATCAACTTGGGATGGAAGGGGGGGGGGGGGGAATAACACAACATCTGATACTATCCCAATAGATACACTGTTGTTTTTAGTAGTGAAATACTCCAACAAGGGGGTAAAGGTTGATCCATGTGTTCTTAATCTAACAAAAAAAAAATAATAATGGTAACATAGAAGACCTAAGGATAACATGCATGTCAAAATAAGATAGATTAAGTCATGAATTGTTTTAGCTGGCAAGTGTAAGCCTCTAGAATTGAATGCAACATGTCTTCTTTACTAATATACCACAACTATAGTGTTGTCAATTTTCTTTATTAAACAGTTCTATTAAAAGGCATCTATAATCCCAAGAGTTTATAAGGACAACTTCTTATAACCCAAACTCTTTCACTAAGTTGAACAGAATAAAGTATAATTTTTTACAATTATATTCGCATAAAAATGTACATACAATGTTAGAACTTAGACCAAACAATATATTTCTCATATGGGGTTCAAGATAACACAAACATTGCCATCAGAATCATTTCAAAGTCTCATCTTAATCTTAACAGAAATGACACTGTACTGGCATCACTTCATTAAGTTCATAAATATGTACAATCACAAACAAATTTCATTTTGTTAAGCCTGAATCATTTTAACAATTAGTTTGATGTGACTGGCTGCATTAGAAACACATTATGAATATATACAATTAAAGGCTTACAATAAACTTAAGTTACCATTATAGGTGACATCCTTAAGGAATGATAAGTTTCAATTAATGTTCCTTAAATACTGATTTCGTAGTTTTTGTTAGTGTAGATAAATTTAACCTTATTTTTACAATTTAGAATGTTTTTTGTTTGTTTTTTTTTGTCCTTATAAATAAAAATAGATTTAAGTTATGCTGATGAAAGAAATACTAGAACAAATACTATTTATTTAATCATGTCTAAATCAACTCATACAAATACAACAAAAGAAAAACAATAAGTTTCATTTATTTAAAAAAAAATATGAGTAGATACAAATTCAAGACTGAAGTTGACTTACAAAGGCACAACTAGGAGCAAGAGAAAAATTCTAAAGAAGCAGAAGTTTATAAGTGTGAAACAAGTTGAAAATTTTAACCTTTTTTTTGTTTTTTTTTGTTTTAGTTTCTTCAAATGAAAAGATGAAAATATGTTTCAATTTCAAATCAAACTCTATAGACACTAGAACAGGAATGTTTGTCAGCCACAGTTGAGCTGTAAGTCTGAAATCACAAAATTTCAACCACTGAGCTTCTGTACATCACTGGTGGCATTAAATACACCAACATACACACACTCACTCCTCTGGTCATATAACATCCTTCTATGTACAGCATTACCAGGTAAGAAACAATGACCTAGGCTTACATAACTTTGGACTGTTTTTGCATACCATGCTTTAGTTAACTATGTATATGTTCTAAAAATCACAGTAAACTGTAATTCAGATGAACTTGTTAAAAGATAATATTTGTATTTAATTCTGATCCAAAATCAATTTTAGTCCTGTCTGCAACAAAATTTTATTGTTTACTTTTTATAAATAAATTACATCCTTATTCTTATTTTGAGAGAAATAAATTTTAAAATAATAATAAAAAAAACAACAACACAGAAACAAACTTTGTAGTTGTTAAAAAAATTGAAGTCAATAATATCAGCAGCACCTCAGAGTCTACAACATGATACTGAGAAAAAAAAAACATTTTCAAGTAACAAATATGTTTTTTGTTGTTTTTTTAATTATTTGGACAGTATGCAATGAATGCATCTATAATAACACCATACTACACTAGTAACAAACCACTGTATAGAGATCCAATGTAACAAAAATTGATCCTAGGCTACACCTTAAGTTTCTTTAGCCCTCAACTCTTGACACTCTATCCATTCATGCAGAGGTATAGTAGCCTACAAGATTTGACATTCTTTCCAACAGATAATTATAAATATTTCCTTTCACATTCACTGACTGACAAACAGAGAAATTCTTAGACAAAAATTGTACAAAGTTGAGCCTCTATAATGTAGTTTCACTACACCCACAATGATGATGATGCCGTCTTCTGCTCACAACACTGCATTATTTCCCATAAGCAGCTGGCTAGAGCTGTGGATGCTTCAGCAGAACTCATCATATGGTAGGTCAGCTGTTGCTCATGTCTACGAAGTAGTCTAGAAGAAGAAAAAAAAATATATATATTCATGTTCCAGATGTAGTGTAAATACCATATGTTAACATTGTTTAAATGTTTTTTAAAAAGACAAAAATTTGGTTTCAAGATTTTTATTACAAAAGATTTTCACTAATTTACTTTTTGATTCCTTGTGAAGGATTATTAACCACTTCTTTTCACAACTTTTAATATCAAAAGAAGCAAGGTTACAAAGATAATTGGTGAGGAAACACAAACTCAAAATAAACAAGGTTACAAAGACAATTAGTGTGGAAACACAAACTCAAAATAAACATGGTTTCAAAGTCAATTGGTGTGTAAACACAAACTCAAAATCAGCCCCTGAAGTGGTCCACCCAGGCAGGTGAAAAGGCAGATTTCAATATTTTCAGAAAGAAATTCTATCAAAGGCAAATGACAGAGAAGAATAGAGAAAGAAGGTTGACTGATCTTGTGCCCTAGCAGACAAAGGGATAGGTATAGGTGAAAGTGAAGGTGAAGTTAGATGTGAACCTGGGCTGTCATATAATGATTATCTAATTGATCTAATTGTTTTCTAAATTGTCAATCTCTTAATAATCAAAGCCTCAAGATAAAAAATTCAATAAAAAAAAAAATCCTTTAGTTAAGTGTCTCGTTGTCGAGAGTTGCACTGCAGTTCAGGCGATTGTATAAAAAAACTATTATTAATTGTTTTAAATTATGTTCCGCTTATATGCATATTAAATAGATTTTTTCTATTTAAGAAAAAAAGTTAATATTTTTTTTTTTAAATGAAATAATAAGTATGACAGAACTTACTTAACTTAGCAACACATTTGTAAAAAAAAAAAAAAATTTTTTTTTTAAAAAAATTCGAAAACCATTTGCATAAATGTGTCAAAAATATGGTTAATAGTCATCTCCTACTAAATAGCCTCCCCTGTTTGTTACTATTAATAGTGGTGTATTTTTATAAAAAAAAACTTTTTTTTAATTAAATTTTTCACTTTCAAAAAAGAAAAAAGTAGCCGTTGCATCAGAACTTTGAATGGTCTAAAATATCATGGTGTCAGATTTTCAATATCTTTTCTAGTTTATGAGATCTAAACGGGACGGACGGGCAGACAAACCACACAGGGGGGGGGCTTCTAAAAATGAGTTGAGATTGAAGGGTCATCTCTCATCATCATACTTGGTTAAAAAAAACAAAACATTTTAATTGGATGACAATTTTTGTTTACCGTCTTCCACTTGATGAACAGCGACAAATGTTTCTTAAAATAAGAGCTGCAGTAAGTCGAATGTGTTTAGACACTGGACCTTCTCTCTGTTCCTAGAATTAAAACAAAAACAAAAATATCAGACTTTATTTTATGACATTCTTACATATTTACAGAGCCTCAAAATCTCATTTTAACTTACAGTGAACTCTGCGTAAGGAGGCTTAATAGTAAATCGTCGGATAGCTTGCATAGCAGCATCAGGTGGGTAAATCATTGGTTGATGAGGTGCAGGGGATGGAGTTGACGTCACCCCTTTAGCCTGCTGTAGATTCGCGGCAAATCTTCTTTGACATGCATTTCTCATGGCCATCTCTGAACAGTGGTGGTCCTAATTTACAAGAAAATAAGCAGTGAATTATACTTTAAATTTACTGATAATATGTTTATGCCCAAAAAATAAACAATCATGTTAAAATGAAACATTAGTAAGATCAATGAAGATGACTATTATTCACAGAATTAAAATCAAATTTAATTAGCTAATTGAGCTCTACTTTCTATTGCTAAAATTCCAGTTTAACAACTGAGACTACAACTATCACCTACAAGCAACAAGAGTCAGTTTATTTGATCATCTGATATTGTAACTGTATGCAATTTTAGGAACCAGAGGTATTTAACCCAATAGCTCTGATTTCCAGGAAACTGCGCTTAACATCCTATGCCAAGAGAACGCTATTGGGTTGAAAAAGGGAACAAATTAAATGACATTTTCCATAATTAACTGTAAAATGTCCATGTTTCAGAAAATATGCATTTTGATAAAACATTTCCATGTACAATCACTCCACAATGTAGTAATGAGTTGAGAACAAAAGGTCTCAAGTAAAGTATTAATGAAGATCTACTGTTGACTATGCATTTGTATGATGGTTGCAAGTTACAAAATGTCTGAGTAGTACTAAAGGCAGAGATGGAAATGTGTATTCCCAGACCTGGAAATGTGTATTTTGAGGGGCAAATGTGTATTTTTCATAAATATAAGGAAATATACTCAGGAAAGACTAAAAATCATTCAAGCACATAACATGTACACGAAGTGCAGCAATCATTATCTTATCTTATATAATACAGATGTTACTTCAAAATAGATCATGATTACGTCCTACGCGTCATGCATTTAGTCATGCATATTAACCAAAGACTTAAAACTCTGCCTAAAGTTAGCACAGCATAAAGTTGTATAAATAAGACATTTTGTTCATTTGTCAAAATATTTACACTTTTAGTTTTTGTCAAAGACTTTTCTAGAATATATATGTTAGAATGATGCCGTTCTTGTCATATAGCAATGATTTTAGGATCATGATATTTCACATTAAATAATAGCAGTAACAGAAAAATTCATTCCAAAGAAAGGAAATTTTTGTTACAAGTGAAATTAGACTTAAACCAGATGTAATGATTTGCTTAGATGGATCAGTGACATCTAATTCTATAAAAGTAGTTTTGTTTATAGGCAATTTCTTTACAAGGTAGCCAGACACTGGAAATATTTTATCACATTTTGAAAGAATTTAGATTTTCTTCTTCCAGATCATTCTATGCAGAGTTAGCAACAGATATTTGTTCAGGCAGATAAT